GAGTGTTTTGAGTGTGTGCACGTTACGCACGGCGCACGCCATACCACGCTATGACTATGGATGGTTGAGCTCCGACACTAGCTTGGTCGGCATACTACAAAATCCTAGCAAGGATGGTGAAGTCTGACAACAATGGAACGAGTTATGCGGTGCCACTGGAGCCAAGGCACTTTAGAGTGTGTTAAAGCCGTGCAAATGGAGCGGTTGCCATATAGTGCGAATGACATATAGGCTGGAGGGCAAGAGGGAGGTGGGAGGGCAGACAATACATAAGCACAGAGGACAAGGAAGTACGAATGCTAGAGGGCACAGGGGAGGCAGAAAGATAAACGCCATACAAACACACCCAACAGAAAGACAAAAAAAACACCAGTCCCAAGACAATCGAAGGACCGAAAAAAATAAACACATTAAAAGGCTGGTGATGAAAGATTGTTTCGTCGAAGTTTTACTGACTCATCAGGAGGCTGAACCCTCGACAATCTGCGGAATGCCCGTATTGATGGTTTGGGTCATGCACCCTTTGAGCCTTGTTTGAAGGCAGACTGTCCCCAAGTGGAACATAGCAGCGGGCAGCAACCCTGCGAAGCAGCCAGCAACGCAGTAGAGGCAACACGGCTGCACAACGCGAAAGACGACTGCAAGAAAAGACACGGCACACAGGACTTGCATCATGGCAACCAAGCAGTGAAGCACCAGGCAACACCACCAGGACAACCACACTGCAAGGGACCACAGGGCGAGCGGACAAGCAGCAAAGCAACCATGCTATGAAGCACAAGGCAAAACCAACACGGCAACCGAACTACACGGCGCGCAAGCAAAGAACACGGAAGGCACGACCAGCGGAAGGGCGGCGAGGCAACGGAGCAGCGAAGCGCAAGGCAACACCACAACCCGGTCACACCACATAGCAAAGACAGTAGTTTGCCAAGAACGACCTGCGAGGCAAGCGGGACGGGCAGCAAGGCAGTGGCGAAGCGCAGACGAGGCCGTCCACACATCCAACACCGAGCAAAGCAACACATCACCTACTCACATCACTGGTGAACCCCACAGACTGTTGGTTCCCCACTGAGCCAGGGAGACACTCCGACGAGCATCCGTCACCACCTACAGGCAACACAAACATCCCGAACTGAGCGGCCCCCATAAGAGTGCAGTAGGCACTCCAAACGAGGAACCACCGACTGTTTGGCACTACTTAAAGATGCTCAGTTAGGCATAGAAAGATAGAGAAACATAGGGGAGAGGCGGAAACACAAACATACCACAAACTGATTGTGTGTGTGTGTGACACTGTGTGTGTGTGTGTGTGTGTGTGCGTGTGTGTGTGTGTGTGTGTGTGTGT